CTTTCCCTTTCTCTACTGCTACTTATCTTTTCATTCTGTAAATTCCTCTAGCCACCCTCTGGCCAGATTCATACAGCCTCCTTAGCACAGCGACCTACAATAAACGCACGGTAACACCCCCGCAGATAGCAGAATACACCGCAAGTCTGCGGTAATGCTAATCTAGGCAGCTGTGGTAGGGGACAGCCACTGCCTGTAGCTGCAGCTGAAAGCATAGACAACACAGTAGCCTCTGTGGTTACATCTAGACGGTGACTCTGCAGCTCCTACAGCAACCCGGTAGTTGTAGTAAGTCCGCAATTGACAAATTGGCAAAAAAAAAAAAAAAAAAAAAAACATAGTTGAGAGTAACTGGATGCAATAACGTCTGCGAAGCCGTAGAATCTTGCAATCACAGCAATACCATGACCATAGGGAGCGCAGTAAAGTTAACGCTTACCACAGCGAGGAACAGCAACAACACAGGTTATATAGGTAGGAGGGTAGCCGTGACTTACAATAAGCTACACAACAGCAAGCCTGTTGCACCGGACCCATCCAACAACCACAGTAGCATAGTCCTGATAGCAGTAACAACAGCTGTAGTCATCTGACTGAATTGCTGCAACAGCAATTACAGGCCCGTTCGTACAGGCTTATGGCCGTGCCATAGCTGCAGCCTGCCCGGTGCTTTACTCGAAAGTGCAGGCATGCAGTAGCAGCTCAGTGGAACTCATGGGTGCAGCACCTGTGTCCCGTAATCAAGCTCAGCAATAGTGGACTTTCAGCAAGGCAGTCGGTTGCCGCCAAGTTCGCTGCAACCTACTAGCAGCAGCTGCGGCTGGTGTGCCGCAGCCCAACAATACAGCACTTCTCACTGTGCCGAAAACCTGTCAGGGGCACAGCCGGAGGTACAACAGTGTGCACCCAGCGGTGTGTACAGCCATACGTATAGCAATGTACCCTGTGCTCAGCAACAAGCTGCAGTGAATACTATGGTCACCGATAGTTCGGCCAGATTCTGCACACAGACAAAACCCAAATATACATATATTTAGGGTTTAGGGTTTAGGGTTTAGGGTTCCGTCGATACCACCGCGTTCGCAACGATCAAGAACCCCGGGTTAGGATGTTATCCCGCTTGATTTCGTGGAGAATCAGCCGAGATACACGTTTTTGCTCGCACCGTTCTCTCCTCCTCGACTCGCCCGCGCACCTCATTTGTCCATCACTCCCTCTCCTGCTGACTCCCCTCCTAATCTGACTATGGGCTCGGGGTCGCCCACCCCAAAACCCCCCTCTCACCTTCTCTCCACGTCAAAATCGGCTACGAGATGGCCGATCAACTTCCTCTCTCCTCACAATTTCTGCTCAATCACCATCTCCATATTTGTTTCGAATGTACGTGGTGCGGACCGACGTCCACATTCATTCCCTCTCTGGTTATTTCCTCATACTCCCCTAAGCTATGCTTCCTTCCCTCAACTCCCCCTTCCTCTTCTTCCTTACTGATTCTCCCTTCCACCCTCCTCTGTTGTCTTCTCCACCGTCCACTCTCTCACCTTCCCCTCTGCCCTCATAGCGCAGAGCTCCGTAGCCGGCTTGGTGGGGAGGACGCACAGCAGCGCCCTATTACCGTGTGGCCACACCCAGCAACAAACTCGTCGGGCTGGCCCCGACTTTATACTCGTCGTCCTTGCGTAGGAGCCATGCTAATGTACTCTGTATCATTCCAACTTTAACGGATGTCCCAAAGGACCACGACCTCCAGGCACGGACGTCCCAGCGGTCCGTGGATGTATCCACAGGACTAGGCTGTTGGGCTTCCCAACAAGCCCCGATACCGGTACCGGCCTTACCCAAAACGAAACAAAAAAAAAAAACAAAAAAAAAAAGGGAAAAATAGAAAAATAAAAAGTAAAAATATAAGACTAAAAAACAACAAAAAAATAATAAAATAAGGAAAAACGGACGGGGAAGGGGGACCGTTCGTACCTGGTCCTACCCCACGGGCCCGCGGGTGGACTCCCCCTCAGCAAAACCAAGGGGGATAGTCCTGCGGGACCCTTAACCCCTTGGTTCACTCCATAGCGCTCCTCGCTCGCCGTTGGCTGCTGGCCTCGATCCCGGAATCCTCCTGGTAAGAGTCTAGTACCATAACCAATAGGGCTAAGCCCCAGCCTGGTGGCAGCAAGCGCAGTCCTACTCATAAAGAGTAAGGGCAGCCCGTCTAGGTTTGCAAACAGTATCTTAGGCCGTTTTTCCCACGTACGGCCTGCGTCCTCGGTCCCCTAAGGTCGCACTTGGCAATTCTAAGGGCATAGCCCCGTCGGCTCACCGCGCGCGCCGGCTCAACTACGGCAGGGCGACGTGTCGGGCTCCTCACGGCCTGCCAAGACGCCTTTGTACCGCCTCCCCGCCGAAAAATCCCGCTCATGGCGTAGCTCAGTGCCACCCTTGCATAGCACTCGCAGTGACTTCTACTATCGTTGGGGCAGGCATCCCAGTGCCCACGCAACTTTACGTGGCGCGGCCTGGATACGCCGGTCCACCACAAGTCGGACCACACTCCTTCCCAGTCACAGTCCTCCCCGGTCATTGTGACGCCGCTTGTAACTTCACCCGTACGTGCGAGGCTGCGGCCGCCTCAGAAACTCTATGCTTGTTCTACCGGCGTCGCATGACCTTCTTTGACCCTGGCCCGGTCAGGCTAACGCGTGCCCACAAAATGCACGCCCACACACTCTCTAATCAATACAAATGGGACTCGCCCTCAGATATCATCAGGCGCGTTCTTCCTGCGAGCTGCAAAAACGTGCCCAAATACCCTTGTAAGGGTATTCGGGCCGACAGTGTGACCCAAACCTGCCAAGAATGTGGTGAGACAGAATAAGACGAAGCCGAAATCTGGAACGTTTCTCACTAAAGGCACGAACCGCAGAATAAGCAGCGATTAATTGGTCGAACTCCCATTGAACAAGCAGCCTACGGCTAACCGGATTTGCCAAAAAGCCCCGAAGCGGTTCCTTAAACGCAACAAATTTACTTAAAAATGGAACAACAGAATCGAAAACCAAGGTCAAACCTCCTTTAATCCATGCACGTGCATACCAAAGCTCACGTGTACCGAAAACGCAGGCCCCCAACACATTTCACGATGATGCTAGAACGACCACAATCCTTACATCCATTGAGAATTTTAAGCAGACTGACCGTCTCAACACCCGTACTTGACAAAAAAGTGCACACCGATCCATGTCGAGACCCCGGATTCAAAGTCGTAACCACCCCCTGATTCCTGCACCGCCTTCTCCTTTCCCTCGCACCAGGTCGACATTTTCGAGACCGTCGGGTCTTACCTCTTATATTCAGCGCGGGTGACAAAAGTCAAATAAAAAATTTCTCAGTCTCTAATAGATAATCCGCGGAGCAGTGACACAGTGGAACAATCACATAAGAATGAGCACCGAACCGTCGAAGCCACCGATATAGCTTTTCATTACGTTTCCCACCCTCAACAATCTTAGTTTCACACGTTCGATAAACATGTTCTCGCCAGCGGGAAGAGAGATCACACAAAGTACTACCAACATATACATGTTTAGACCAAGGCGAGACTAATGCATAAACCAAGGGACCTTTCCAAAGATCAACGTTCACATCACGTGTAGGGCAGAAAGCACGAAGCAGAAACTCACAAAGATAGTTACCCCACGGAACTTCACCAAGAAGAAACAACCAGCAAACCGCCAACGACAAGAAGTGGTTAATAACAAAATTCCAAAGGAGCTCTACCGACGAAGCACGAAAGGTACAAATAAATTTAATAATAGACCATAAGATAACCGCATTCGGGCGTGACTCTAAGAGGAACCCGAGTCACACCCGTCCGTCTTGTCTGAGTTACCCACCACATCTTCACTCACTTCGACTATCGAATCCACCTTACCTTTGCCCCAATCATCGTTGTCAAACACACGAGAAATGCGCAGCTGTGCGATTGCTTCCTTGGTAGGTTCTAGAGTAAAATATGAGATTCCTTCCTTGTCACAGATAGACAAAATCTCCTCCTTATTCTACTTTCGTAAGTCCTTTCGAGTGTCACGTAAAACTGCATCTTTGTTGTTGACCCGAACCGTTGGGTTGTCCGTTGTCCTGTTCTGAATCTTCCTGGTCAAGGCATCATTGGCTTCCTCCGTAATCCGTACCGATTCCTTCCTTGTCGACACACCGGCAGCGTCATCCAATTTTGACTTAAGATTGGTTCCCCTGGTTTTTACCCCAGTTCCCAATCTCACCATCGCCTCCTTCAATCGTTCAACCTCTTCTTCGGATTCTTTACGAGCATTCAACTCACGAAGTCGCATCTCCTTAAGACGTTCTATTTCTAACTGATGACGCTCAACTATTCCTTTCAATTCCAAATTCACCCGCCCGACACCAGGAGAAACCACCCTTGCTCTCACCCTTGCATCAGAGGTAGGAGTGGCTTCGATAGCGACACTCCCCCGCTTGTTACCCGACCGAAGCGCTTCCGATCTCCAAACATCTGCGTTTGCCTCAGCGGCTTCGCACTGCCTCTGCAATGCGATGATAACTTCTTCAAGAGAGGCAAACCTCCGTTCGCTAGCAGCCTTTGCTTTGGCCTGCTCAAGTCGAAGTCGAGACAATTCCTCGGCTTCATTGTTTGGCTTGGAGATTGTAGCGGACGTACTAGTGCTGTGATGACCTCGACGAAGATGTTCAACCTCCGCCTTGAGACGCGCAATCTTTTCTTGAGACTTGTCCTTTGTCTTTTTCCGATCCATTCGGCTGACGGACAAGAGACTCAACTTGAGCCCTTAGTTTCGCAATCTCCTCATTGTCGCCGACCTTCTTACCATTGACCGCTTCGCATACCTTGTCCAACTTCCCAGTCATCTCCTCCTTGTGGAGTTCTTCTCGTTCCCTTCGATCCCTCACACGCCGTTCTTCTTCTTTAGTATCACGTTTCTTCCGTTCTTCTTCCTCACGTCGAGCCCGTTCCTTCGCTTCTTCAGCCTCGTGCTTACCATTTATCTTACTAACGATTTCTTCCAGAGTACTGACTCTACGACCAAGTCCACTACCGCCGTTATATTGACCGGAGTAATACAGGACAGCCGTAACCACGTTAGGAGCAGGCGGGAGAGTCAACAAAGGCTGAGCCGGAACAATAGCACTACTAGTAGACACGTGCGACCCATTAAGACGACGATCAGGCAACGAACAATATCTAGAGATATGTCTAGGTTGACCGCAGTTATAGCAAGCGCGAACACCTTGCACGTTAGCATTGCCAACAGATGCCATGGCACAACCGAAGTCACACAACAATAGTACAATCCCTATGTCGGTTCCTCCGTGAGATGAAGTATACATATGACTCGAGGTCAACAATTCTTGAGGTCAATGCAACGACTCAGTGAACTCCAAGCACGACGGACAAAAAACGCAATACACAGGAAACTGACGAGAAAGATGACGCAGAGGGCAGGAAGGAGAACGATTTGGTCCTTGGCTGGTCACACGGCGCCATTCACCAATTGTGCAAGAACTTTTGTGAACGAATTTTTGCCAATTTCTGAAGAAAATGCAAAAAAAAAAAGAAGGGAATTTGTGGTCACCTCAAAATCCCTTGCCCCGCGGCTTGCCAGGCCGCTGACAAATGGGCACTGGAATAGTACATTTGCAAATTTGGTAGATCCGTGTGACCGGCCGTTTCCCCTTTTTTGGGGGATTTTGGGTCCCCGTGTGACTCACACGGGGACCTATAATTCCAAAATCCCAAAAAAAAGGGGAAAAGGCTGGATCTACCAAATTCGCAAATGTACTATTCCAGTACCCATTTGTCAGCGGCCCTGGGAAGCGGCGGGGCAAGGGATTTTGCGGTCACCTCTGGAGGTGACCGCAAATGCCCTTTTTTTTTTTTGCATTTTCTTCAAAAATTGGCAAAAATCCGTTCACAAAAGTTCTTGCGCAATTTGTGGATGTGTGACCAGCCAAGTACCAAATCCCCATTTCTCCAGACGGCCACGGCCTTGTCCCATCTGAAAAGGTACAGCAGTGTGACGTGAACCACACCCAAAACCTCAAATCGGCCCTTCCCAAATCCGCATATTTTGCGGATTTGGGGTCGCCGTGTGAGTATGCCCTGACTCTAGAAGTTTTTTCAGGAGTCCAGTGTAGTGCAGCGAGGCCCGATGTTGTGCAGTGGAGCATCTTTCGACCTTTCGTAAGCAGATGCGTTCGACGTGTTGGTTTCGGCAGTTGTGTGGCAAAGGGCCAACTACAGCCTCCCGTGTGGATCCAAATAGGATTATGGGCTGCCCTCCACACATATCTGGACTGTCCGTGGACTAGGTGCAATCGGACTGATGGAACGTTTTTAAAAAGGGCGATGGCCTTGAGGCATTATCATCGGACTAACCAGCCCAGGTAAATTCAATATTGTGTCTAATCTGACATGGGGTGGCCTTTTCCTTTTTTTTTAAAAAGCTATATTCTTCTCTCAATTTCACCTCACACTACCTACCTACCAGTACTCCTAATTGTTTTTTTTGTTGTTTTAATTGTATTTAAATCCCCTTTTATTTCAATTCATTAGAAAGAGGCCGGGGACCTCACAATTCAACCCGGAGTTATCCCGGCAGCGTCAGCCGGTTTAGCTTATGATGATCAAAACAATGTCTCAATTAAAACATCTGAGACAGGGTCTACACACTCCTAATTCAACCAAACCTATCTATATGTAATCCCTCATGAAAAAGACAAGATGTACTTGTCTGTTTCTACCTTTGTTCTAAGTCCTAGGGATTGTTTAAACTCAGAAGGGCAAAAACCGACTTACTCTATCGTACAAATCTACTTAAGAAAACAATCCTGTCCACTATTCACGACATACTGAATCCAAGATCCAGTAATTCATGTGGACCTAAGCCGGTCCTATGTCCTGGATCCTGGTACCCCCCTGGAGAAGCCAAGGCGACAGTTTGAGCTTCCCATCCGCTGTAATAGAGGCAAGTTTATTGTCTTTCGCCAGTTTGAGCTTCCCATCCGCTGTATTCCTAATTGCAGCCAGCACCGTGTTCACGAGAGAACATGCGGGGGCTGCTCCCGACCTGCAGGTGGGCGATACCGGCTAGGGGGCAGCCGGTAGCATCAGGGACCATGCCAACAGGACCAATCCCTGTGCCTCCCCTCAGATCCCCTCCCCTATGAACATCAGCAGACTCTGCTAAATGCCAATCGGGGGATCCAGTGGTCTATCTCTAGGTGGCGGGCGCCAAGCATGCCCAGGAAGGTACATGAGGACAATGGGGATTGAACCCACGACCTCCTGAATGCCACTTGCGAGCCTTACCAACTGAGTTAGGCTGCTGGATCGGGTGGCCTTTTCAGCCCAGGGTGGCCTTGATCGGGGGACACCGGCCAGGGGACAGCCGGTGGCAGAGGGACCGAGCATCATCTGAGTGGCCAGTCGGGGAACGTTTTGAATGTGTTGGGACAAGGCATTTAGATATAGCGCCTCGCTCCACTACTCTCCGAATGTGCAAAACAAAAATGAATACTCCGCTAGAACATGGAAAGATACACTCCCATAATTTGTCTTTTGTGCATGTGGAGAGTCACTCCAATAATTTGTCTTTTGTGCATGTGGAGAGTACTAGAGCCGGGCGCATAGCAGGGGCATCCGCTCTCTTGATTGAAAGAATGATTGGAAGAAGGATAGCGGGTAGAGCACTGGCACTCGGTCTCGCTCCATTACGCAACACTAAATGGAGATGGACTGATTAATGGTCCCTGTACATTTTAGATATTCGATCAGTGCGAATGTAGCTGGTCGACACATGAAAGTCGAGGTACACGTACGTGGTGAAGCGAGGCCAATTGTCTGGCACTTTATATAATAATAACATTACCATCGTTGGAGAGTATCAAATCCAGATATTCGCTGACATTGGTTGGGAGAGAGATCCGGTGAAGAGTGGGAAGAGAGAGAGAGAGAGAGAGAGAGAGAGAGAGAGAGAGAGAGAGAGAGAGAGAGAGAGAGTTGTGCGGAGGGAGACAGAAGGCGGAGGGGGGGGAGAGAGAGAGAGATAGAGAGAGAGAGAGGAACGACGAAAAGAGAGGAAAGAACGGAGGGAAGAAGACAATAGAGAGAAAGGAAAGACGAAAAGAGGGAGAGACGGGGGCGGTAGAAAGGGGACAAAAAAAACGAGTAGTTGGACGGAGGGAGGAACAGGATAGGAGAGGAGGTGAGAGAAAGAAGGAAGGAAGGAAGGAGGATAAGAGATGAGTTAGAGAAAGAAGGAAGTTTACAAGCATGACAGACCTCTGCGTAAGGATAAGGATAACCCATGCTAGCGAATCGATAAACTAGTGTACATATATGTAGTTTACAAGGAGAGAGAGAGAGAGAGAGAGAGAGAGAGAGAGAGAGAGAGAGAGAGATTAGGAGGTAGGAGACGTGCTCATCGGTTGGTTGATCGACCATCGAAGAACAGTCATCAGTGACAGATGCGGCAGCGGAAGGGACCTTGTCGTCGACGTTGTAACTAATTGCAAATGAGTGTGTACGGCTGAATTGGGCTTGATTGATTGATTGATTCATTGATTTCCTTGCTTGCTTGCTTGCTTGCTTGATTGCTTGATAGACTGATTGATTGATTTGTTGATTGATGGATTGATTGATTAATAGACCTGACGGATTGATTTGATTAATTGATTTTTTTCCCTTTTTTTTAATTGAATTTGATTGATCGATTTAATTTTTGATTAGTAGACCTGACGTATTGATTGATTGATTGGGGAATAGATGTGGCGTATCGATCTGTTGACAGGATCTGCGTCGGTTGCTCGTTCCATGCCCTGACCCTTTTGTTTGGCAGATGCAGCGATCGATCGGTCAATCGGCTGATAAGTACACGGATTGAACCTGCGATCTCTCGATTGCGTCAATCGGAATCGATCTCGTCTGGATTAGCCCCCTCCACGCACCCCTCGTTAATTGCATAGACAGGGTGTTGAACGGAACTCCCTATTGCGTCACTACTGGAACGATTCAGCCACGGATTGAACCTGCGATCTCTCGATCGTCTCACTGATCTCTCGCTCCACAGATCGATTTCTTTTCATGTCTCGCTTTTGGCAGCATCTACATTCATCCTCTGGCTGCTCTCCGCTCGCTGCGTCTCTCTCTCGCTCGCTCAATCAATCTCTCCTCACTCCGTTAATTTACCGATTTTATCGATCTCCTCGATTCGATCTACTGATCCATTTGAGTGAAAGAGCGCAATGAATCAAATTTAGAAAAGCTGGGACACTTGTTCTGACTGAACGCTGTGCTCTGTGTGTGTGTGCG